GGAGCAGTTGGTGGTGTGAATTGCTGGGATGTACTGGAATGCAGAGTTGCCCTGGAAGGCACCGGGAGACACTAGGGAACGGGAAGCAGTCGGCATTATAGAACACTGGGAGGCACGGGTAGGCACTGGGGAACAACGCAGCTGGCGTTGGAGGCATTGAAATGCACTAGAAGGCACTGGGATTCACCAGGAGACATTGGAATGTGCTGGGAGGCACTGAGGAGCATGGGGAGCACGGGGAGTGTTGGGTGTGGGGACGGAGGGGCACTGGGTGAGCCAAGGGTGCTGAGGGTGCGGGACACTGAGGGGAGTGGGGGGCACAGAGGGGGCATTTGGGGATCTCTGGGACAGGGGGTGCAGGAAGGTCAGATTTGGGGAATTCTGGGGATGCAAAGGGGTCAGGTTGGACCTGTATCCCCTGCACCCCCTGTATCTCTTGACCACCCTGAAACTCCTGAATCCTCGGGCCACACTCCACCATCTGCATCCCCTGTAACCCTTGCCCACCTTGCAGCCCCCGTACCCTCCTGACACATAGTTGTGCCCCTGACACGACATTCTAACATGTCATGCTGTGCACCCTGTGTAGATGTGTCTGCGCACCCCAGCATGTGTTGTGGGGCACATCTGATAGTGCACCCCAACCCCCAACCATGCTCACCAACACCCTGCTGTGCCCCCTGACACATGGTTGAGCCCCTCAGTGCATGGCCCCCCAACATGTGTCAGACATACTTTGCACCCTAATCCATGTCCTGGGGCACATCAGGCTGTGCACACCCTGCCACGCACCCTGTCACGAAACTGGGCATGACCCGACATGTGGCTGTGCACCTCCACGTATGTTCTGGGGCACATCTGACCGCATAAGGAGTACACACACATAATCACAGGCACAGCCAGGTGCTCACACTCACATTCACACACACACACACACACACACACACACACACGCATGCATGCACACTCACACTCGTATTCGCTCCCCCTTGCCCCCCCCAGGCATCTCCTGGACAGGGACACCTTCTCCAAGTCAGACCCACGTGAGTGGGGCAGGGGGGATGGGGTGTGGTTTGTGGTCTCTGGGGATGTTTTGGCTCTTAGGTGCTCTGAGGAGTCTCTCGGGGGCTTGGGGTTTCTGGGGGGTTTTGGGGTCTCTGAAACGTGTTGCGGGCTCAGGGGATGTTTAGCTCTCTGGGGGGTTGAAGGGGGGCTCTGAGATATTTTTGGGGTATCTGGGGGTTTTGGGGTCCCTGAGGTGTTTTGGGAGGTCTCTGGGATTGTTGTGGTTCTATGAGGTTTTGGGGGTCTCAAGGACATTTTGGTGGGTTCTGGGGGTGATGGGGACCCTGGGAGTTTTGGGTGGTCTTTGGGGATTTTGGAGGGCTCTGGGGGATCTGAGGAGCCTCTGAGGTATTTTGAGGGTGTCTGGGGGATCTTAAGGGGTCTTGGGGGGATCGGGGGAGTCTCTGAGCTGTTTTGGGGGGTCTCTGGGGAGTTTTGGGAGTTTCTGGGAATGTTGGTGTCTCTAAGAGTTTTGGGGGTCTCTGGGGTGTTTTGGGGGGTCTATGGGGGTGCTCGCCCCCCCTGACCCTTCCTCCTGCAGTCTGTGTGCTGTACACGCAGCGCCCTGGCAGCCACCAATGGCGGGAGGTGAGTGACCCGATTGGTGGGGAGCAGCCAATCAGCATGTTGGGCTGTGCTCAGTTGACCAATTGGCATGTTAGGGTGCAGTCAGCCAGCCAATCAGGATTTTGGGGTGCTAGCTGGCCAACCAATCATCAACATGTTGGGGCAATGACCAATCAGCATGTGTGTGTGCCAACTAGATGTCCAATCAGCATGTCAGGGCTAATGGCAGCCAACCAGCATGTAAGATTCTGGCCTATCAGCATGTTGGGGTGATGGCCAACTGGCCAATCAGGGTGTTGGGGTGCTGGGCAGGTGACCAATCAGCAAGTCAAATTCTGGCCAACTAGCATGTTGGGGGGCCTGACCAATGAGCATATTAGGGTGTTGGCCAACTGGCCAATCAGTGTGTTGGGGTGCCAGCCAGTTGGCCAGTCACCAGTGAGCAATCAGCATCTTCGGGTGCAGCACCTGGAACACAAGCATTCTGGGATGCAGCAGCCATCCAATCAGTGCCCGGGGACAGAGCGATCAGCCAATCAGCATCCTGGGGATCTGGGAAGCATGTCGAGGTGCTGGGCAGCCAGCCAGTGAGCTGTCGGCACACAGCCAGGCCCCGCTCTTGTAATTAACAGGGTGTTAATTGCGGGGTAATGAGCGGGGGGTGGGGGCGGCCCTGCAGGACAAAGAGGCACCTGGGCCCTCCCTGCCCCTGTCCTCCCCTTTCCCACGCATGTCCCCATGTGTGCCCGCCCTTGCCCTGCCTCCTCCGCCCACATGTGTCTACATGTTCTCATGTTGCTGGGTCTCCATGTCATTGTGTCCCCATATCTGTATGTCTTCATGTCCACATTCCCCTGTCCCACTGCCTCTATGCCCATGTCCCCACCCTCCTTCCCATGCCCCCATTTTCCTGTCCTGTGTTCCTATGCCTTCATGTCCCCATGTCTCTGCATCTCCATGTCCCCATACCCCTGTGCCCACATCACCACCTTCCCATGTCCCCACATGCCCATGTGTCTGTCCCCGTGTCCCTGTATCCCCATCCCCCCATGCCCATGTTCTCATGTTCCCATCCCTATGCCCCTATGTCTCAGCATCTCTATGTCCCCATGTCCCTGTGTCCACGTCCCCATGTCCCTGTCCCCACCCCATGTTTTCTTGTCACCCCATTATTCCCGCTGTCCCCACATCCCCCAGTTTGGCCGTACCGAGGTCATCGACAATTCCCTGAATCCTGACTTCCTGCACAAGTTTGTCCTTGATTATTGCTTTGAGGAGCGGCAGAACCTGCGCTTTGACCTGTGAGTAGCCCCTGTGGCTCCAGTGTCACCCCCCTGTCCCCCAGGGTCACCCCCTGGCCACCCTGACACAGCCTTCTAGAGTGTCCTTGCCCCCATCCCTGTTCTGCCCCTATTCCTGGACCATCACCACCCTTGTTCACATCCTTGTTCTATTCCACTGTCATCCTATCCAGTCCCCATTCTCTCCCGTCCTGTCCCTATCCACATCCCATCCCTGTCCATTCCATTGTGTCCCTATCCCATCCCATCTCGTCCTTGTACCCATCCTTGTCCTGTCCTATGCCTATTGTTTATCCCATCCTGTCCCCACACCTTATCAATCCCTATTTATGTCCCATCCCTCTCTCATCCTATCCCTGCCCCTCTCTGTCCCCATCCCATCCCATCCCATCTGTCTCCATCCCTGTCCCACCCAAGGCTCCCCCTTCCCGTTCCATGCCCATATGTCCCCTCTGCCCCCAGGTATGATGTGGACTCCAAGACCCCTGACCTCTCCAAGCATGTAAGTGCAGGATGGATCAGCCCTGCTCCCCTGGCCTCCCTGGGATGGGCATCCCCGTGATGACACCCGGTGTTCCTGATCCTGTAGGATTTCCTGGGCCAGGCATTCTGCACCCTGGGGGAGATCGTGGGCTCAGCTGGCAGCCGCCTGGAGAAACCCCTGATGTGAGCCCCTCCCTTTGCCCCAGTGTCCCCGTGTCCTACCCCAGTGAAACCCCTGATGTGAGCCGTTCTTGTGCCCCAGTGCTCCTCCTAGAGAAGGCCTTAACATGAACACCCCCCACCCTGAGTGTCCCCATGTCTCTGCCTCCAGAGAAACCCCTTGTGAGGGCCTCCACTGTGGTCCCCAGGGTCCCCATGCCTCCCACTGGTGAAACCCCTGATGGTTGCTCCCCTCGGCCCCAGTGTCCTGGGGTCCCCAGGGTCTCTGCCCCAGGGAAGCCCCCAATGTGAGCCATCTCCCTCACTGATCCCAATGTCCCCATGTCCTCTCTCATGAAGAAGCTCCTGACACGAGTCCTGCCTGTGCCCCAGTGTCCCTGAGGTTGTCATGTCCCCTTTGGAGAAAACCCTGGGTTTCTCCAAAAACAGTATTTTGGAGAAAACTGGGAAACCCAGTGTCCCCATGTCCCCCACAGAGAAGCCCCTGACATGAACCCCTCTGGCCTCAGTGGTCCCAAAGTCCCCTCCCCAGACAAATCCCTGACATAATCCTCCCCTGGCCCCCATGTCCCCATGTATGCCTAAATCCCTTTTGGTGTGCCCAGGATGGACCCAGACCCCAGAGCCAACAGTGGCATTTTGGAGGGCTTTTTTTTGTTGTTTTTTGGGCGGGGAGTGGCTTTTGGAAGGAAAGGCAGTATTTGAGGTCTGACTTTTTGGTGGGGTTTGATAGATCTGGCTTTTGGAGGGGATCTGGCTTTTAGGGGGGTCTGACAATTTTGGGGTTGGCTTTTTGGGGGGCAGATTGTTTTGTGGGAATTGATTTTTTGGGAGGCTGAATGTCATTTTGGGACTGGCTTTTTTGAGGAGAGAAACTGCTTCTTTTTAGGGTGCTGGAATCTCGGGGGGGCTGGAGGGTTTTTTTTGTAACTTCATTTTTTTGAGAGGGGAGGCTTTTTCTTGGGTGGGGATCCCTTCCATCACCCTTCAGTGTGTGTCCCTGCAGGATGGGGACAGCCACCACGCACCCCCGGGGCAGGAGACCTGCCCCGGCTGCCTCCAGTGGGTAAGTTTTGGGGTGCCCAGTGCGCGGGGGACACTCCCAGGAACCATGTGTGCCCCCGCCATGCTCACATCCCATCCCGGCAGTGGCATTCCAGGAAAGAAGTGCGGCACCATCATACTCCTCGCTGAAGAGCTGGGAAACTGCCGGGTGAGCCGCGGCGGGGCAGGGGAGAGGGCATAGCTTGGGGACCCCACAATATCGGGGGTGGCTGAGACACACCAGCCCGCATCCCAAAGATGAGGGTAAGGGCTGTCTATCTCCACGCTGTGTCTCGCCTGTCCTGGATCCCTCCGTCCCTCATGTTGCAGCCGCCCCGCAGGATCCCACCCCTGAGGGGGGTGCAGGGTGGATGACCCTTCCCCCCCCCGCCAATTCCACCCCACAGGACGTGGCCACACTCCAGTTCTGCGCCAACAAGCTTGATAAGAAGGATTTCTTCGGAAAATCTGACCCCTTCATGGTCTTCTACCGCAGCAACGAAGATGGGACGTGAGCGACCTCCCCTCAAAACCGCAGTGACCTTCCCACACCTCACGGGAGGGCTCAGACCCAACACAGGACACTCCTATGTCCCGATGGGCTGGCATTGGTGGGGGTGTCCAAAAATCCTCACTGCACTGCGCGGGTTACAGACTGGGGGGATGTTGGGATGGAAGAGTGACCCCCTTGTCCTCTCCCCAGTTTCACCATCTGCCACAAGACAGAAGTGGTGCGGAACACACTGAACCCCGTCTGGGCAGCCTTTGCCATTCCTGTGCGTGCCCTCTGTAACGGGGACCATGACCGGTGAGTGCCAGTGGACTGGTACCCCCTGCACCCCCCCTTTGGCACCAAAGACCTTCCTTCTCTTCCTTCCATCTCTAGGGTCCACTAGGACCCTCTGAACCCCCTTCCCCCATCTTTGTCATACCAGGGGACAGCCTGCACTCCCATCTCTGTGGTCCTCTGAGACCCCCCAAACCCTCTTTCCCCCCACCCATGGTGCCCCTTTTACCCATGCAGCCCCGTCCCCTGTCTTATGGGCCCCCAGGACCCTCTTTTCCTTCTTTCCCCCATCTCTCAGGTCCTCCAGGACCTCCTCCCCCATCTCTCTGGTACCTCTGGACTCCCAGAGCCCCCCTCACTCCATGTCCATGGTACCCCAGGACCCCCTTCCCCTCTCTCTGTGGTCCCCAGAATCCTTTCCCCTGTGTATGTGGTACCCCAGCACCTCCATGATCCCCTTCCCCAGCTCTGTGGTCCCAAAGACGCCTGCATCTCCTTCCCCATCTCTGTGGTACCTCAGGACCCCCTGCAGCTCTTCTACCCTCTATGTGGCCCCGAGACCTCCTTCCCCTATCTCTGTGGCCACCTGAGACCCCCAGACCCTCTTCCCCCATCTCTGTGGTACCAGTAGCACCCACCCCCGCCCCACAGCGTTACTCACTTTTGCCTCAGTTTACCCATCTGGACAATGGGCATCACAGCTGTCACCGAGCCATACCGCCCCCTCTCCATCCCAAACCAGTGTCACCAGCTGCTGTCTTGGCAAACAGCCGCTTTGGCTCGGTGTTGAACGTTGCTGTGGCAACGATGGATAAAAATATCCCAACGAGGAGGAGAAGGAAGCAGGGAAAAGCCCACAGAGGCGTCAAAACAAATCCCACTGGGAGTGGGGGGTTGTGTTTGATGGGTCTCTGGGGGAGGGGAGTGGAGGGGGTTTGGGAGTCTCAGTGACCCCCCCCCTGCCTTGCAGAGCCATCAAAGTGGAGGTATACGACTGGGACCGTGATGGCAGGTGAGCTGCATGTGGTCCTGGGGACCCCCCATACCCTGGACCTCCACTCTCCGGGTGACAGAGACCCCTTGGGCAATGAGGCCCCTGGGACCCCTGCATCCCCAGGGAGATGGAACCCCCCTGGGTGATGGAGACCCCCCGGGTGATAGGAATCTCCCCTGGCTATTTGGGACTCCCTGGTTGATGGGAAACTTCCTGGGCAATGATAAACCCCCCATCCCCACACCCCCGAGTGATGGGGATCCCCCTGGGTAATGGGAGCCTTCCTAACCCAACTGATGGAGAACCACTGGCCTTGCAGCCATGACTTCATCGGGGAGTTCACCACCAGCTACCGGGAGCTGGCTCAAGGCCAGAGCCACTTAAACGTGTACGAGGTGAGGGGGGATTGGGTACATGGTCAGGGGGGTTACACGGGGGCATGCCCCCGTGGGGGTCACAGTCCCACTGCTGCACCCACAGGGGTTATGACCCCCAGGATCCCTGTGCTGCACTTGTTTGTGTTAGGGTCTTAACACTGCACCCCTTGGGTGTTACAGTCCCCAGGGTCCCTCTCTCTGCACCTCTGGATGCCAGGGTCTCTTGTGTGGACCTGTGTGGGTGCTGCTTATCCCATGATGCAATCCTAGGGTGTCATGGTCCCCAGGGTCCCTCCCAGTGCTGCACCCTGGTGTGTCATATTCCCCAGGGTCCCCCTCCTGCACTCTGAAGTGTCATGGTGCCCAGAGTGCTGTAGCCATAGAGGTTTACAGTCCCCAGGATTCCCTGTACTACAGCCCTAATTGCACCCCTGGGATGTTATGGTTCCCATACTGCACCCTGGGGTGCAGCACCCACAACTGCTCCTTTGAGGGTCCCCAGCCACCGCCATGGATCTCCAGCTGCACTACAATCCCAGGGTCCCTACATGCATCCCTGGGTGTCACAGCCCACTATGTGCTCCTGAAGGTCCCTCTCTGCACCTCAGCACAGTGCTCCCACTGCTGCCCTCCAGCATATTGTGTGCCCCCCTGTTCCCCAGGATGTGACAGTCCACTACACTGCTCACTGGGGCCTCCTGTCCCTGTGAGAAACAATCCCCTCCCCTCCTATCCCTGCAGGTGGTGAACCCCCGGAAGAAGATGAAGAAGAAGAAGTACCTGAACTCGGGGACAGTGAGGATGGGAATGTGCAGAGGTGGGGGGGACACAGGGGGTGTGGGCCCTTCCTCCCCTGAGCCCTATGTCCCCACAGGTGACACTCCTGTCCTTTGCTGTGGAGGCCGAGCACACCTTCCTGGACTACATCAGGGGCGGGTGAGCAAGGGATCCCCAGCACATCCAGTTGTACTTTTGAGGGTCCCGGACATCCCCAGCTCCTTTCTTGGGGGTACCCAGCACCCTGAGCTGCTTCCTCAAGGGCAGGGCATCCCCAACACCCCCAGCCTCTACTTCACTGGCAGGGGGGTCTCCAGGACCCCTATTTCCTCCCTTGGAGGTCTCCAGTACTCACTGTTGCTCCCTCAGGGATAGGGGTGGGGTTCCTGCTATTCCCAACCCTTCCCTGTGGGATCCCCAATACCCCCAGTTGCTCCATTGGGGGTCTCAGCACCCTCACCCAGATGCCTTCCTGGGGGCAGGTCATCCCCATCACCCACAGCTGTTTCATTTGTAGCCCCCAGAACCCACAATTGCTCCCTTTGGATGCCTTCAGCACTCCCAACAGCTCCCTTCGGGGTCCCCAACACCCACAGCTGCTCCTTTTGGGGGAAGAGGGTCCCCACCAGCCCCATCTTCTCCATTGGGAGTCCTCAGCACTCCCACCCAGATGCTCCTGCATGGACAGGGGCTTCCCAGCACCCCAAACTGTTCATCTGGGGGTCCCAAGCACCTCCATCTGCTCCCTTAGGTGCAGCATGGTGACACCTCAGTGCAGGGACACATGGGGTGCTCTGATTGGGCATCCAGTCCAGCCTGTGGCCCTAGGGGTGTCCCCACCCCAAACTCACAGGTCAACCCCTGTGTCACCCCAAGGCCACTTTATTCCCCAGGACCCAACTCAACTTCACAGTGGCCATCGACTTCACGGCATCCAATGGTGAGGGGGGGCTGTGTCTCCCCAGGGAGATTTATTTGGGGCAGTTGTAACCAGTTTGGCATCATGATGGTGTCATGCTTGTCACCAGTTTGGGGACATGATGTTGTTGTTCTTGTAGTTGTGTTGGGGATATGGTTATGTTTCCCTTGTCACTGGGTTGGGGACCCGGTGACATGTCCCTTGTCATTGTGTTGCGGTCATGATGGCATTGTCCTTGTCTTGGGTTTGGGGCCATGGTGGTGTTATTTTTGTCACTGTGCTGGTACTACGGTGGTGTCATACTTGTCACCAGCTGTCACTGGGTTGGGGATTTGGTGCCATTATCATTGTCATTGAATTTGGGACAGAGTGGTGCCATTCTTGTCACTGGGTTGGAGTCATGGCAGTGTCATCTTTGCTAGTGTGTTAGGGACATGGTAACGTCATCCTTGTTACTGTGTTGGTTCCATGGTGGTGTCATCCTTGTGACAGCGGTCACCGGGCTGGGGACGTGCTGGTGTCACCCTTGTCACCCAGTTGAGAATATGGTGGTGTCGCCCTTGTCACTGGGTTGGGGACGTGGTGGTATTTGGAGACATGGTGGGATCATCCTTGTTGATTGTCACCGTGTTGGGGATAAGATGACATTATCCTTGCCACTGAGTTGGGGCCATAGTGGTGCTGTGGTTGTGGGGATGCTGGGGGGTGTTTTGGGGGTGCTGAGGGGATTATGACGGCGCTGGGGGAGCTGTGGGAGCGCTAAGCCCCATGCCCGTGCAGGGAACCCCTCACAGCCCACGTCCCTGCACTACCTGAGCCCCTTCCAGCTGAATGCCTATAGCCTGGCACTGCGGGCCGTGGGGGACATCATCCAGGACTACGACAGTGACAAGATGTTCCCAGCCCTTGGCTTTGGCGCCAAGGTCCCCCCAGATGGGCATGTGTCCCACGAGTTCCCACTGGTGAGGGGCCAAGGCGGGACAGGACTGTGGATGAAGGGTGGTGTGCTTGTCACCTGGTTGGGGATATGGTGGGATCATCTCATCACATTGTTTGGGACATGGAGGTATCATCCTTGTCCTTGGGTTGGGGCTATGGTGGTGTCATCCTCACTGGTCTGGGGACATGGCGATGTCATCCATGTCACCAGATTAGGAAGGGGCTTGGTGTTGTCCTTGTCACCAGTTTGTAGTCATAGTGGTCTCATCCTTGATCACTGAGTTGGGTACATGGTGTGTTTGGGTTGGATCTGGATTGGGGAATGTGGTGGTGTTATCCTTGGGTTGTGAATATAATAGCATTGTCATTTTGTCACTGGGTTGGGGCCATGGCAGTGTCATCCTTGACACTGAGTTGGGAACATGTTGTTGTCTCCCTTGTCACCACATTGTGGACATGGTGGGATCATCTTTGTTAGCATTTGGGGGCCACAGCTGTGCCATCCTTGTCTGTGGAAGGGGTCTGTGCTGTCACCCTGTTCATGGGTGGGGGCCATGGTGTCACCATGGTCCTGGTGACCTTGTGGCAGAATGGGGATGCAGCAAACCCGGCCTGCCATGGCATTGCGGGGGTGCTGGAGGCGTATCAGCACAGCCTGCGTCGTGTCCAGCTCTACGGCCCCACCAACTTTGCCCCTGTTGTCAATCATGTTGCCCGGTAAGAGGAGCCCCGTGCCGCGGGATGGGGTCCTGCACCCCCCGGCGTCACACAATGTCCCCCCAGCTCAGCGGCCACGGTGCTGGATGGGTCCCAGTACTTTGTCCTCCTCATCATCACTGATGGTGTCATCTCTGACATGGCCCAGACCAAGGAGGCCATTGTCAATGTGAGACCCTTGTGGTGGCACTGGGGGGGGTGGTGGCACCCCTGGGTGCTAAGGGTGGGGAACCTGGACCTCTTGGGTGATGGGGGCACCGGCAGTAGGGAGGGATTGCGACCCTTGAGGGGATGGGAAAGGTTGGGGACCCGTGGGTGCTGAGGAGGGGCTCGAACCCTTAGGGGATCGGAACGGGCTTGGATCCCTGGGTTCTGAGGGGTTGGGGGTGGCTGGGAGCCTTTGGGTGATGGGGTGGGTGAGGGGGAGCTGGGACCCTGAAGTTGAGAGGGAGGATGTGGGTTGGGACCCTTGCATGCTGGAGGGGTGGGGAAGGGGCTGGGAGCCCTGGATACTGGGGGAGTGTGTAGACCCCTGGGTGCTGGCTGCAGTGGGGAGGGACTGCTGTGTTTGAGAGGTGGGAAAGGGCTTGGACCCCTGGGGTTGAGAAGGGGCTGGGACCCCCAGGGTTTGAGATGTAGGAGTGTCTGGAATCCCTGTGTGCTGCAAGGGGGCTGAGAAGTTCCTGGAACGCCCCAGTGCTGGTGGGGAGGTCTGAGACCCTTGAGTGATGAGGGGTGGTGAGGGACTGGAATCCTTGGGGGAGGGGTTGTTGGCACCCCTGGATGCTGCAGGGAAGGGGAGGTGGCTCATTAGGTGGCAGCACCATTAAATTTCATGGGACTCCCTTCACCCCCTGATTCCCTCAGGCTGCCAAATTGCCCATGTCCATCATCATTGTGGGGGTTGGCCAGGCCGAGTTCGATGGTAAGATTTGGGGGCTGAGAGGAACTAGGGGAAGGCTGGGGGGATTGGGGGGTCCCTTGGCCACTGAAACTGAGAGTTGAATGTGCCAGTATATGAATGGGCTCAGCATACCCCAGCGAGGGGTCTTGGGGATTCTGGGTGTGGGGTTGAGAGGGACATAATGGGGTGAGAGGTACATGGTGCTGCTGAACTCCCCCTGCATCGCTCCCAGCCATGGTGGAGCTGGATGGGGATGACATCCGCATCTCTTCCCGTGGGAAAGTGGCTGAGCGTGATATCGTCCAGGTACTGACCCCACCAATGGAGGATTTGGGGACCCTCTCCCAGCCCACCCAGCAGGGTGGTGGGAGGGGGTGCCCTGGGGACCTGAAATGAGCCCTGTCACTCCTGGCGTGCACTGGGTGGGATTGGTGTGGAGGGATGATAAGATGGAGTGGGACATGGGGCAGCACTGGCATTTGAGGGGGGCACTGGGACAAGGGGATGCAATGGGTTTGGAATGCACCTGGATTGGGGGTTGCACTGGGATTTGGGGGTACACTGGGACATGGTGTGGGGGCTTCACTGGGAAAAGAGGGTGCCCTGGGACTTGAGATGTACCTTGGGATGAGGGTGGAGTGGGACATGGGAGCATATTAGGATATGGGGGGCACAGGGACATGAAGGAGACAATATGATGTTAAAGGAGGTTTACTGGGAAATGGAGGGAATTGGGATGTCAGGGATGTACTGGGACATAGGAGCAGTGCACTGTAACATGGGAGGGATGCACTGGGGTTTGGAATGTACCTCAATGAGGGGAGACACTGGGACATTGGGTGCATTGTACATGGTGGGGGCCTTCACTGGGAAAGTGGGTGCACTGAGATTTGGGATGTATCGTGGAACTGGGGTGCAGTGGGACATGGGAGTTTCTTAGGATATGGGGGGCACATATTTGGCATGAAGGGGGTTGGTACTGGGAAATGGGGGAGCACTGGGACATGGAGGGCATGTACTGGGATATGGAGTTACACTGAGACATGAAGAGGGGGTGTACTAAAACCTTTGGCGGAGGGTTGTGCTGTGAACAAATGTGCAATGAGACTTAGGATGTTCCTGGATGTGGGGAGGAGCCTGGAATATTAGGAGGCACTGGGACATGGGGGAACAATGGAGGGGGGCACTGGGATATGGGATGTACCTGGATGTGGAGGGCACTGGGACATGAAAGGGGAAGGTATTGAGGAAGGGGCATCACTGGGGAATGAGGGGGCACGGGGACATGAGGACGGTGTGCTGGCAAATGATGGGGGGAAATGGGTCACCAGGATGGACCTGGATGTGGGGGGTAGTGGGATATGGGGGTGTACTGGGAAATAGGAGGGGGCACTGGGATGTGGGAATTGTGGGAAATGGGAGGCAGTGGGATATGGAGGGGCATGTGAATGTGGGAGCGCCCCGGGACATGAAGTACTGAGAAATGGGGAACACTGGGATGTGGGAATACATTAGGATATGGTGGGAGGGGTACCATGATATGGGAGGGCTCTGGGTCTTAGTATGTACCTGGATGTGAGAGACACTGGGACATCAGGAATGAGGAGGGGACACCGGAGCTGCTGTGTGTGGGGGACACAGTTCTGGGGGCTTCCTGGTCCTCGACCCCCTCAACTGCTCTGCCTCCCCCCAGTTTGTTCCATTTCGTGACTACATGTCGGGGGGTCCCGGCGCAGGGCTGAGCATGGCAGGACTGGCACGGGAAGTCCTAGCTGAGATTCCCGACCAGCTCCTGTCTTACATGAAGGCACGGGGAATAAAACCTCCCCCCATCCCTCCCATGTCCCCTGAAACTCCCACACCCTGACTGCCTGCTCCCGACACACCACATCCCCTCTTCTTACCCCAAAACCCTCTATCGAGGGACCAAAGGCAGACATATTATGCCAGGGACCTGGGATAGGGGGGTTCCACTTCTCCCTTCCACAACCTTAGGGTCCTCCCCTTATCTGGGATCCAGGTTCCCACCACCACACCCATAAAAACAGTTTTTGGGCTTTCCGCGGGGGATTGGGATGGTGTTGCCTGAGCATCCTTGGCCATGGGACTCCCCCCCTATACCCATCCAAGACTGTCCTGCCCCCCCAAAAAGGGGTAAGAGGTCTTCACCCTCCTGACCTGAAAGCTGGGGTGCGCAGGAGCCTCCCCTAAATGTGGAGTGCCCCCCTAGGGTAATGCATGACCCTTCCTCAGTTCACCATCCTTCCCAAATTCCTGGTCACCCCTCAGTTCCTGAGCTGATCCCAGTGGGGTCTCCAGTGTTTTTGATGTTCTCCCTTGCCATGTCGCATGTGTCCATGTGGGTTTGTATTGAATTACCTTAAATCACAATAAATTATTGTGGCTTTAATTACAGCTGCCTCCCCTGGGATGCCCCAGCATTTCCCCTAAAAGGAGCCCCACCCTGGCTGTATGTGGACCCCCAACGTGTGTGGCCCTGCCCAACTGTGTGACACCTCCCAAGACTTTGACAACTCCTCTGCTCAGCTCTGTGACTATCCCTCCAGCTCTGACCCCCCAGCTCTGCCCCTCCCTATCTGTGACCCCCCAGCTGCTGTGTCACTGTCTCAACCTGTGGTCCCCCAAACTGAGACACTCCAGCTCAGACCTCTCCCCAGCTGTGTGACCTGCCACACACTGTGTGAACACCCTCAAAATGCATGACCTCCCTACTGTGTGTGACGCTCCCCCCAGCTCTGACACCCCAAAACTGTGGACGGGCCCCATGTCTGATAACCCCTGGCTGTGTGTGATGCTTGCACAAGCTGTAACCCCTCTCAAACTTTGGTATCCCACGTAGCTCTGAACCCCTACCAGCTCTGTGTGACAACCCCTCACTGTGTGACATCCTCACGGTATGACCCCCCAACGATGAGATAGCACCCCCAAAGTGTGACCCCAAAAATTGCAAACACAGAGAAATCACATGGGACAGGGATGGGTTATTTACAGGATTGTGTGCCCCTGTACCCCAAAACTACTTGAAGGGGGTCTTGGAAGTCGGGGGGCACACAGAGAACCCACAGCCCAATTGAGGGGGTCATAAAGCCCCTGAAACCCAACTAGGAGTTCAGGTAAAGAGAACCTGAGATTGCCAGAAAAAGAGGATTCCTTGAGTATATTTGCAGGAAAAGCAGATTTAGGACAGGCTCTCAGTAGGACCCTTCTCAGCGGATTGAAAAAGGCCCCTTTGGCAACTGCAGGGCCCTTGCAAAGTGCCACACCCTCAGCCCATGGGGGACAAAAGGGCTCTGAATAGCCCGCCACCGGCAAGTAAACCCTGTTGCCAGGCGGCTTCACACACAGCATTCTTACAGAGGACTCCAAAAATTGAGAGTCAGCTCTGGCTTCTCCACGTTTTGTGTCCTAAAGCTGCCTGAGAGAAGAAATTTAGGGTCGGGTCCACCGGCGCAATCCCTGCTGGCCTAGGGAAGGTCTTGGCGTGCCAAGAACTTCTTTGCTCCAGACGAGAAAAGCTCCCGGCACAGGGTCAACTTTCCTGCACAGCCAGAACCCCCAAATGCCCCAGCAGCAGGATATTGAGGGATTGGAGTGGCACCGATTGGTCTGGCAAATGCCAGACATGGGCACTGACAGCGCCAACAATCTGCTGGATCTGGAGTCCTGGCACCCACAAATTATCAGATCAGGGCCGTGATGGTGCCAGATGCGGGAAAATTGCCAGATGTTGGCTTTCTGTGTGAGCAAATTGCTAGTCTTGTGCAGTACAAGCACTGAGAAATTTCAGGATCTGGACAGTGGCAGAGCCAGAAAACACCAGATTTCAGGCTCCAGGTGCTGGTAAGGACCAGATCCAGAATTCTGGCATGTGGACCATCCCTTCCTTCCTGGAATCCTTCCTTCCTTCCTGGAATCCTTCTGTGCTAGTTTGAAAGCAAAACCAGTGAGAGACTCCAAGTCAGTAATACAATTTAATAGGAAAAAAAGAGAAAAAATAAAATACATGCAATAATACAAAAGAAAAAACCACCGACAAAGTCAGAAAAACAACCTGACACCCTGTCAGTCAGGGTGTTGGTACCAGTCCGTGTAAATGGTGGCTGCAGTCCTCCTGGATGACAGATGTGGTTCAGTTGAAGCAGTGCTCCTGTAGAAGGGTGCAGTTTTCCTCTGAAGGTCCAGTGATGATGTGGAAAAAGGTCCGACTTCCCTCTGGGATCCAGTGCAAAGGGCTGTCTTTGCGTCCCAAACCCCAGTTTTTTATCTAGGTAGGAAAGGCTTGGCTCCTGCCCCTGGCTGGAGCATCTCCCAATGGGATGATGTAATCATATCAGTCACACAATAGGACTTAATGGCCCATTAACAGAATATATCTTCTGGAGGAAAGCTGGGTTGTGAAAAGATAACGATGATCAGCCCCCTGATTTTATCAGGTGGCACATCAGCAGAAGATACCTCCCACAGAGGTAAGGATCACCACCCCTCCCACATTTCATCAGATGGTGATAGAATACACATTTTTGCATTGTACCCCAGGACGTAATCCACCCCTTATTCTATTACCATCTACATCATACCCAAACCAATACCCTCTTATAGATATATATATAATACAAAATGAAACCTTACATACAGTTCTCACTAAAAATTAGGTCTCCTTGCGGTACACAACGGGTTTCCCCATTTTTCTGCATTACCCACCAAGTGTAACCAGGTCCTTGAGCAAAAACAATCCCACGGATTGGTTTGCCTTTGCCTGTGGTGGGATTAATCCAAACAGTCTTTCTTAAAATACCTTTCATGTGTATCACAGGGACTTTGTCCCCATCCATTGTGTGCAGGGGTTCAGAGTGGGCAGGACCAGCTCGACTGATGGACCCTCGGGTGTTAACCATCCAGGTGGCTTTGGCCAAGTTCATCTCCCAATTTCTGAAGGTTCCCCCACCAAGTTCTTTCAGGGTAGTCTTAAGGAGTCCATTACACCATTCAACTTTCCCCGTAGCTGGCGCATGGTAAGGGATATGATATATCCATTCAATACCATGTTCTCTGGCCCAGGTATTGATAAGGCCGTTCTTGAAATGGGTTCTGTTGTCTGACTCAATTCTATCAGAGGTACCATGCCTCCAAAGGACTTGTTTTTCTCGGCCTAAGATGGTGTTCCAGGCAGTAGCATGAGGCACAGGGTAGGTCTTTAACCATCCTGTGGTTGCTTCCACCATGGTCAGTACGTAGCGCTTGCCCTGGCAGGTTTGGGGAAGGGTGATGTAGTCAATTTGCCAGGCTTCCCCATACCTGTACTTTGACTATCGTCCACCGTACCACAAAGGCTTCACCCGCTTGGCCTGTTTGATTGCGGCACAGGTCTCACAGTCGTGGATGACTTGTGAGATGCTGTCTATGGTAAGGTCCACCCCTCGGTCACGGGCCCATCGGTATGTTGCATCTCTCCCCTGATGACCAGAGGCATCATGGGCCCAACGAGCCAGGAATGATTCTCCCTTGTGCTGCCAGTCTAGATCCACCTGTGATACTTTCACTTTGGCAGCTCGGTCCACCTGCTCGTTGTTGTGATGTTCTTCATTAGCCCGACTTTTGGGTACATGCGCATTCATGTGTCGAACCTTTATGGTCAGTTTCTCTACTCGGGCAGCAATGTCCTGCCAAATCTCAGCTGCCCAGATGGGTTTCCCTCTGTGCTGCCAGTTGGCCTTTTTCCAGCAATCCAGCCATCCCCACAGAGCATTAGCTACCATCCATGAGTCAGTGTAGAGATAGAGCCTTGGCTACTTCTCTCGTTCAGCAATATCCAAAGCCAACTGGATGGCTTTTAGCTCTGCGACCTGACTCGATCCACCTTGTCTCTCGGTAGCTTGTGCAACTTGTCGTGTGGGGCTCCATATGGCTGCTTTCCATTTTCATTTAGCGCCTACAATTCGGCAGGAACCATCAGTGAAGAGGGCATATCATCTTTCAGTCTCTGGTAGTTCATTATATGGTGGGGCTTCCCCAGCATGTGCCATTTGCTCTTCTTCTTCTTTAGAAGACAATCTAAAAGTCTTACCTTCAGGCCAGTTTGTAATTATTTCCAGAATCCCAGGGCGATTCGGATTTCCAATACGGGCGCGCTGAGTGATGAGGGCAATCCACTTGCTCCATGTGGTGTCAGTGGCATGATGTGTGGAAGGCACCTTTCCCTTGAACATCCAGCCCAGCACTGGTAGTCGGGGTGCCAGGAGGAGTTGTGTTTCTGTGCCAATCACTTCTGAGGCATCTTGAACTCCTTCATAGGCAGCCAAGATCTCCTTCTCTGTGGGAGTGTAGTTGGCTTCAGATACTTTGTAGCTTCTGCTCCAGAATTCCAGTGGTCGAACCCAAGTCTCACCAGGCACCTTCTGCCAAAGGCTCCAGGATAGACCATGGTTTCCAGCTGCAGAGTAGAGCACGTTCTTCACATCTGGTGCCATCCTGACTGGGCCAAAGGCTACCGCATGAGCGATCTCCTGCTTGATCTGGGCAAAAGCTTGTTGCTGCTCAGGGCCCCAATGGAAATCGTTCTTCTTGCGGGTAACCAGGTAGAGAGGGCTTACAATCTGACTGTATTCAGGAATGTGCATTTTCCAAAAGCCTATGGCACCTAGGAAGGCTTGTGTTTCCTTTTTGTTGGCATGGCAGGTGGAGACATAGCGGTGATCTTATTAATTACCTCTGTTGGGATCTGACAACATCCATCTTGCCACTTGACTCCTAGAAACTGAATTTCCTGAGCCAGTCCCTTAACTTTACTTCACTTAATGGCAAAACCAGCTTTCAGCAGAATTTGGATAATCTTCTCTCCTTTCTTGA